TCTCTAGTGCGCAAAACTCTAAAACAAAATTTGATCAATACCCACGATATCAACGAGCGCTTTTCATTCAAGTAATTTATTCTTGTTTTCTCGTCACCATATTCCCACCAATAGTGTAGCTCCATTTTCTACATATAAACCCACACACAATCCACAATTCCTTCAATCGCTCTGACGAAGGGCTAACGCTCGGAACGCCAGCCTCTAAACGCTTTACGGTGGACAGTTTACGTTTTCAACTCAGTTCACTAGACTAAATTACCCCAGTATGATGCTAGCACGTGCTGGCTCCATTAAGCTATATTAACAATATTGATATTACTAAAATACGAAATAAACTCTTTGCAACATTCTTGTTAAAAAACATCCCACCATCCCGCCCCGAACGAGTAGCAAAACTCTAATAATACCATAAATTGATAGTTTAATTGAGTTTTCCTCTGAATAATGAACTGATACTTGAATCGACACAAGGAGAAAAGATATATTTAAGTGTCCTTGAACATGGATTAATCCTGTCTTAAACTCAGGTTTAATTAGTTAAAGTTGATGTTTGAGATTTAAGTAACTATCTTAAGGCTAAAACATAATGTAGGTTCAAGTTCACATGAAATGTGTCCAAAACATTCCTGTATGTTTAAGTACTGTTTAATTGAAGTAAACAGAACTTAAACATTGCATGTTGTCAAAGTACCATTTAATGCAAATTAATCTGCTCAAAATGTGTTGCTTTATTTTAGTTTTGGATCAAATTTGTGAAATCAGGAAAATATTATTGTTTTGTTGTTTCATTACTAAACTGCCACCCACCAGGTCACGTATCACATATCACGTATCACGTATCACGTATCACGTATCACACTAAACAATACATTTTTCAAGTTTCTTTTATTTTAAATTCACTGGTACACATTCTTAGAGTTACTTCTAATTTGTAATTAAAACGTCACACATACCTAGCTTATTTATGCTTTACAGGAACAAATTTTCCCATAATTATTCAATAAATTTAACAATAATTGGAAGAAACTATCCCTATAATCTAAATGAAAATAATTTGTTCAAACAAAAAAATTACTTCAGTTTTCCATTAAATACATAATAAATAAATAAATAAATAAGTTAACTGATATATGATAAAAAGTAATGGCCTGTACATGTGTTCTAAAAAAAATATAGCTTAAATCTCAATGTCGATTTAAATTGCGTTTAAGAATGCTGAAACCTTACTTAAACAAAGGTACATTTTAAAGTCATGTTTAAGTTTAGAAAACATGACTTGCAATTGTCTTTGGATTTAATAGTTGTTTAATTTTACTTAAATGACACTAACATCTGGCCTTTTTACCCAGTGCGTGGCAGGAGCGTCTGACGAAGGTTCAAAACTTGTAACGAATCACCTTTTGGTGAGCAAAGCCTTAAAATTCACCCGTTCGATAAGCGCTCGACTAAGATAGTCGGCAACATCTCCGATAAAATGCAAAATTTAGGTGTAAACGTATTCAGCTTTTTGTTTGTTTCAATTTATCTCTTTTTGGTACCACGTTCGATTAATTATGTATTTATTATTTTATTTGCGAGTTTAAGAACACTTTACGAACCTTCTAGTGAAACCCAAATATTGACAATGGTTTACAACAACACTCTTATTGCGAAAGAAATGTTTAAGTTATCTTTTTTTTTATCAGCAATGCGGTTTTCCACTAGGGATATCACAAGGTTAGGGCGATTATTTCAAACATGTAGCTTTAAAACAGCTAAAACCGGTTTCAATCGGTTTTGCCCTTGTTATCAAAAATGATTTTTTTACTTCCTCCGAATTTTAAACGCTAAACGTTTTTGGAAAAGTAACATTTTTGAATATGCAATCTATTGGACTGTTGGGGTAAACAAGCTTAAACCACAGGCGCAAACAGGAGGCACCGGGCGTCTGATTAGGAATAGTTTATTTTACTCTCGGAATCTCTGTCCCTTTCTTCTCTAAAATTCAGCCCCACAGTACACGCTCTTAAATACCTTATCGGCTGGCATGTTTGGGCTTGCGGGACAACCGTGGTAGAGTACACATATTTTTAGAACGTTAACCAAAGCCACCTCAAGACATTCCGAACGCACAACAAAGTACTTGAAAAAAAACAACCGATCTTCAAGGTGATAAAAGTGATAAATTTTCAGCTCGTTTTCCGTATACTAGTATAGTCCCTCTTGTCATGTAAATGGCTCAAAGAAAAACTCTGAACTCTAAATCAAAAGCGCTCTCTGGCCTTTATTTTTGGGTGACGGACTTTTGATTTACTCGTTAATTGTCTTATTACCGTTTAGATCTTTTTTACGAAATTTCATTTTCAAAAGTTCTATTGAAATTAAAAAGCCAATACAGATTTCAATTTGTTTAAATGAAACCTTTTTTCAATGTGCCATCGCCAGCAGTTTTTCTTCTCAGAAATTTGATTTCTTCTTTGGCTTAAGACCTGAAATTCAGTTTGTGTTTAGTAATTCAGCAAAGCTTCTGCACAGGTAATTGATATCAGTGTTTTTATGAATGGGTTTTTTCCAAACTTCTTATTGTGTAAGTAGTCGAGTTAAAAAAAAATTCCTTGTTGAGAAGATACACATTTTCGATGTTTTTCCCGAGCTTCTTGTCGTCTGCTGACCGACATGACGGAAGCCCGTAAATACCGCTAATAAAAAGAGGCCGTTTCGATTTACAGGGGCAGATTTCAAGTCATAAAATTTCAATGTCGTTTGCTTCGAGGTCTCCGCGTCTTATTGCCTTAAGGGACTTTCCAACTCTATCCTTTCGATGAAGCTGGAATTCGTGAATATTACTGAAGGAATCGGGGACTTTTTGAGAGAAAAAGGTCTCCGATAGGATCAGAATATCCAGTCGACTTTTCGATGATGGTTACGTGGAATCTTTACTAACTTCTCATTTGAAACAGGACGAAATTCATTTATACGTAGCCAATGTGCGTAATTTTATGGAAGTAAAAGCGGACGAGGGAAGGGAATACTACGATCTCTGATTTACTGTTGAGAGCAGAGGTGCAAACCGGGGCAATGTCCTTCAAGCTAAATGTAAAGGTGATCGACATGGGGGATGCAAGCACATTGCAGCTGCCATTTATTCTTTAGAAGATTTGTTAAAACATTCGAGGTAAAGATAGTGTAACCAGTGGCCCATGTATCTGGGTTACAAAACCTAGAGCAAATACTAAATCGTACAAAGTGAAGGACCGGGTTATAATTACGAAAAAAATTTACAAAACCCTCTCACAAAAAAGGAAAACGTAAACACACTTCTCTTCAGTATATTGACAGGGATGTTCCCGCTTCGACAGACAGGAATCCAAAAGATGCGGAATATGTCCGTCAATTCACCAAAAAGGTGTGCCAGTTAAAAACTGATGCACCTGCAGTTATCTTGCCCCTAATCAAAAAACTCCACTACACTTCCGAAGCTCACGCAGAAGTGGACAATGGGCCTTTTAACAAGGCTAAGACTGGTATCATGAATACCAAAATACAAGAGATTGTTAAAGGCCGTCCCAAAATCTCCAGCAAAGATGTGTTGAGGTTGTTATCCTTCAGTGATGTAGAAAGAGATTAAGTAGAGAGCACCACCTCAATTCAGTGGCAATGTGAGGAATGGTAAATTTACAAGGCTGGTTTCATAATAGCTTCAAAGTGTAAAAGAGTCTTTACCGGGAAAAAGGCCATTGAAAAAAACGAAAAAGATGTCAAAAAGTTCATATAAGATATTGTGCTACCCAAGTCACCACACAGTTGTTGTCAAAATCAGGAAGAGGAACCACAAAATCCAGAGAGTGGGGATTATTTCATGAGGAGAGTGCGTGGAACATATCAGCGAGTTACCAGCCATACCCACTGGTCTCAAAAGGCTTTCTAATTTCAAAGTCAAAGCCTTCCTTGATGCCAGTGTGGGCAATATTAATAAAATGTCAGTGCTCTGATGGTTGTCCTAACAAAGTTTTAGATTACAAATGCCCCTGGAAACACAGAGATATGGGCTCTGAAGAAGCTTTCCTTATCCTTAAAATTGGTGGCGTTGTGAGCGAAAAGGGGTTTGCCTTAAAACCCTCCTCCCAGTACTACTTCCAACTTCAGCTTCAAATGTTTGTGAGTAAGTTGTCCTTGAATATCTTAGTCGTGTGGACAAAAAAAGGTGTCTTTGCTGTTGACGTGCCTCTCAATCCAAGTTTCAGGACTAAAACTTGTGTTCCAAGCTTGAGATGTTTTTGTCTCAGCAGCTTCTCACTTTCATGATGAATAACTTAGTTTCACACTGCTTTTTGTCCTGGTATGTAGCCTTTTTCTAATCATGATTTCAAATAATTAATTTGTAATTTTTTATTTTTTAACTTTTTTCAGAGTTCTGATCTCCACACAAAGATGGATATATTATAAGGTCACCCAGCCGGAGATTTCCATGACAGTGATACTGATATGTTGTCATCTATTTTTTTTATTAGACTCAAAAGATGAAAATGAAGATTCCTCATCTCTAAAAAGCTGTAGTTCACAGACCATCAGTTCT